GATTTGCATATATGTCTTCTATTATGCTGAGGAATTTCCCTTCTTGTCTGATTTTGCTGAGAGTTATCATGAGCAGGTGATGGATTTTATCAAATACCTTTTCTGCATTGATTGATATGATCATATGGTTCTTTTCCTTTGTTTTATTTATGTGATGGATGACGTTGATTATTTTTCTAATGTTGAACCATCCTTGCATACCTGGGTTCACCTCACTTGGTCATAATATGATATTATTATTATTATTATTTTGATATGTTTTTGGAGTCTATTGGCTAGGATTTTGTTGAAGATTTTTGCATCTATATTCATGAGGGATATTGCTGTGTACTTTTCCTTTTGAGTGATGTCTTTGCCTGGTTTTGGCATCAAGGTTATGCTTGGTTCATAAAATGAATTTGGGAGGATTTCATCTATGTTCTGGAATAGTTTGAATAGGATTGGTGTCAGTTCTTCTCTGAATGTTTGGTAGAATTCTCCAGTGAAACCATCTGGGCCAGGGCTTTTTTTTGTTGGTAATTTTTTTCTGACCTATTCAATTTCTTCTTTTGCTATGGGTCTGTTTAAAATTTCCACCTCAATCTCTGTTAGTTTAGGTAAGTAGTATGTTTCTAGAAATCTGTACATTTCTTCTAGATTTTCAAATTTGTTGGATTATAGTTCTTCATAGTATCCTGATATTTATTCTTTTAATTTCTGTTGTGGTGTAACCCATTTCATTTCGTATTCATGTTATTTGTATTCTCTCCCTTTTCTCCTTTGTTAAATCTGCCAGTGGTTTGTCAATTTTATTAATCTTTTCAAAGAACCAATTTCTACTCTTGTTGACTTTTTCTATTGTCTATTTTTTATTTCATTTATTTCTGCTCGAATCTTTATTATTTCTTTTCTTCTGCTGAATGTAGGCTTCTTCTTCTTCTTCTTCTTCTTCTTTTTTCCTTGCTGCTCTTTTTCGAATTATTGGAGATGTTGGGTTAAAATGCTGATTCTGGTTCTTCTTTTTTGATGTGTACATTGATTACTATAAATTGGCCTCTGATCACTGCTTTAGCTGTATCCCAAAGATTTTGATATGTTGTGCTTTCAATCTCATTTGATTCAAGGAATTTTTAAATTTCTTCTATCACCCAATCATTTTTAAGGAGGGTGTTATTCAGTTGCCATGTGTTTGCTCTTTTTCCTTTCATCTTACTATTGTTGATTTCTAATTCACAGCACTGTAATCTGAGAAGATGCTTTGCAGTATTTCAATGTTTTTAAATTTATTGAGGCTTGCTTTGTGGCCTATCATATGGTCTATCCTTGAGAATGTTCCATGTGCACTGGAAAAGAATGTATATTGTTGCTGTTGTTGTGTGAAGTCCTTTGTAGATGTCTATAAGGTCAAGTTAGTGGATTGCATTATTTAGTTCTTCTGTGTCTTTGTTGAGTTTCTTTAGAGTTGTTCTATCTGTGATTGAAAGTGGTGTATCTCTGGTGGCGTAGTGCCTAAGGCATTTGACTGCTAACCAGAAAGCTGGTGGTTCAAACCCACCAGCCACTCCTCGGAAGGAAAGATGGACAATCTACTTCCGTAGTGATACTACCTTGGAAACCCAAGGAGGGGTCGCTATGAGTTGGATCTAACTCCATGGTAGTGGTTGCGTTTGCATTTACTATGACTGTGGAGTCATCTGTTTGTGTTTTCAGTTCTGTTTGAGTCTGGTTTATGTATCTTGGGACTCTTTCCTTGGGTGCATAGATATTTATTATTGTTATATTCTCTTGGTCAATCAATCCTTTAATCACTGTATAATGTACTTCCTTTTCTCTCATGGTGGTTTTTGCTTTAAAGTCAATTTTATCAGAAATTATTATTGCCACTCCTGTTCTTTTACGGTTGCTATTTGCTTGATATATCTTATTGCAACCTTGGATTTTTAGTCTATTTTTGTCTTTGTCTCTATGGTGTGCCTCTTATAGACAGCATATGGATAGGTTATGTTTTCTTGTCCAGTCAGCAACTCTCCATCTCTTGAGTGGTGCATTTTATCCATTGACATTCAGTGTAATTATCGACAAGTATGAATTGGTTGCTGTCATTTTGTTAAGTGTTTTGTTGTGGTGTTGCTGATTTCTTTGTTTCATATAATTTTCTGTGCTGAGCTCATTTTATTTATGAATCGTGTTATCACTTCCTTCGTTGCTATTATTTTAGTATTTGCTAAATATTTGTGCTGGTCCTCCCTTTAATTGTGACGTGAAGGTTTGTAATTTTTCTTTGAGGATACCTTGTGATTTATAATTTTCCTCCCAATTTTAGAACAGTCTGTTTGATCTTGACTTCCCTACCATTTGAAAGTTCTGTAACTACACAATTTTTTCCCTCTTTTTGGTTTGTAGTTGTCCTTATTTGTCAATTGACATCTCTGGTTCCCTGTTTACAATCTAGTAGGCTTATTTACTTTGGAAACTTCCATAACTGGGTTGGTTTTTGGTTTATGTCATCATGTGTGTTAATGGTAGGCGGCTGTTTGCTATTGTTGGTTCTCTGTCCAAAGGACTCCATTTAGCATCTCGTTATTTGGTCTGGTTTTAACAAATTCCCTTAACTTCTGCTTATGTGGAAATGTCCTAATTTCACCATCATATTTGAGGGATAATTTTGCTGGGTATGTAATTCTTGGTTGGAAATTTTTTCTTTCAGGGTTTTATATATACCATCCCATTGTCTTCTCACCTGCATGGCTTCTGCCAAGAAATCTGTGCTTATTCTTATAGGTTACTTCTTGTAGGTAACTTTTTGTTTTTCCTGTGCTATTTTCAGGATTCTTTGGTCATTGGTTTTGGTGAGTTTGATGATGATATATCTTGGTGATCTTCTTTTGGGGTCTATCCTGTTTGGGGTTTGTTGGAATTCTTGAATGGATATATTCTCATCTTTCACCATACCAGGGAAATTCTCCTCCAACAAATCTTCCACAATTTTCTCTGTGATTTGTCTCTTCTTGTTCTGGAATTCCAATAACACATAAGTTATTATTCCTTTTGATGGTATCCCACATGAACCTTAGGCTTTTTTCATTTTGTTTTGATCTTTTTTTCTGATTGATCCCAATACACAGAAGTATTGTGGCATATGTCTTCAATCTCACTAACTCTGTCTTCCATTGATTCAATTCTACTCCTTTGCCTGTTCAATGTGTTATCTATTTCTAAAATTTTACTATTAATCCTCTGGATTTCTATCAGTAGATTTTGTATCATTTCTAACTTTTCACTTATTTTGTCATTTTGTTCTTGTATTGTCTTTTGAAATTGTTCTAGGGTTTTGTCTGTGTTTTCTTTAAATTCATCAGTGTTTTCCTTGATCTATCTCTCAAACCTTGAAGATAGCTAAATATAATTCTTTTGAATTCTTTATCAGGGAGTTCCAATGCTGCTTCTTCCTCAGGGATGTGTTCTGGGTCTGTATCCCAGTCCTTTGTTTCTCTTGCTTTATCTTGGTTCTTTGTGTGGACTGTGATGCTCTGCTGTCTCTGACACATTGTGATGTTTTTGTGTTTATATTTCATTGGTGATTGTATGTTGGAGTGACTTGCCAAGATTTTCATTTTCTTTGTTTTGGATGGGTGTTGTCTATGTCAGCAGGGTACTGTGCTCCTCTATTCACTAGTTGGGAGCACTAAGGCTCCTGATGTCCCTGTTGTCCTTGGCAAATGGGGCCTATTCTTAGGCCCCTGGAATCTGAATGAGAATGCTGTCACTTTAAATATCCAAAATAGCCATCACTTGTAAACATTCAAAATGGCTGCACCCTTGGTCATTTTAAATATCCAAAATGGCCCCTGCCTGTAAACAACTAAAATGACTGTGCCTTCCAGATGGCCAAACATACACAGCTCAGATTGTCTCCCTCCTTCCTGCTTCCCTTCCTAGTCATAGGCCACCAGTACAGTCATTCCCTGCAGCCCTTGGTGACCAGAGTTGATCTTTAGGTCAATTCTCAGGTCCCAACACCATTTGGAAATATTCAGACTGTTGGTGCTGTCAGAGTAGCTGACAGTCTGCAGCTCTGTCCATCTCAGTACTCACTGTTTTCATTCAGGTTTTTCCTCTAGTGTGTGCCTGATCCACTTCTGTATACTTCTTTTCAAAGCTCAGGGCTCCAGGATTACCTTCTGTATCTCTGTCAATTTCTTTCTCTTTTCTTTGTTGAAGACAGTCTGTGTAGCTTGTCTGCCTATTCTGCCATCTTCAAATAGAGAAACTTTTAGGGAACACTGTTAAGAGATTTGAATTCTATTTGCTCTTGACTACCAAGTCTGTATGTTAAAACTGAGCAGTGGGAAACTCAAAACCTGTGTGTATATGTGTGTGTATATGGTGTAGCGGGTGCTTTGCTCCTAACTAGTACCCAGGTGGTATAAATGGTTAACACACTTGGCTGCTAAAATAAAAGATGGAATGTTTGAGACCACCCAAAGTCCCTCTGGAAGAAAGATCTACCGATCTACTTCTGAAAACCAGCCATTGAAAACCCTGCGGAGCACAGTTCTACTCTGATACAAAGAGGGTCACCAGGAATTGGAGTTTGAAAAATGGCAAGCCCCCTCCCCCATTAACAGATACAGAACTAAGGAGCTGGTTATAATGCGGGGCATTTTTACTAATATTGGGAAATATGTAGGTTATAACATTAACGTAAAACAGGAGATACCAAACTCATTATCCTAGGATCTTATGCAGGAAAAGTGCTGACAGGCCTCAAATGCAACAGTGGTCACATTAGGTGGTGAGATTAGGCTTGATGGGCACATCATTCTTCACACTCTTCTATACTTTAAATGTATGATCCTACATTATCAGATATTACTTTTATACCTAGGTAACTGCTTTATGTAAAACATCAATCATTGTGGGGATAAAATGCAGTATTATTTTTCCCACTGCACCAAGGTGTACCCAACAGTCAACACTTAAAAAAAAAAAAAAAAAAAAAAGAGAAAGTGAATACATACTACATGAGGGAATGTCACACAGTTCCATGCGTACGTTTTTGTTCTGCGTAAAGCACCAGGGGCCTTCCATCTGGCCACCGGGGTTCCGGCAGTAGGCGTGGCCCCCTCTGAGCTCAGGGAAGTCAGTGCTGGACAAGTGATGGCTGTGAGGCTGCTGCAGGACCCATGCCTGGCACTGGTGCCCTGACTTGGTAGTACTGGCAGTCCCTCTGTAATCTGTGCCTGAGCCGTTGTAGCACTGGTGGTCTAAGACGGGGAAATGTGTTAGGAGGCCTGAGCATCAAGAAGGGTACAGAGTCAACCTTCTTCCACTATTTCAGAAACAACAAAATCACTTTGCCAACCTGGAGTTTCTCAAAGGTCACAGGATTCTACATAACTGTCAGGACAAGCCACATTAAAAACCATGATTTAATGAAGTCCCAAACCCTCAAATTAAACTGTTGTATATCAGGGACATATAGAAGAAGAAAATCCATCAAAAGGTATTCTGCTGCCTTGAAGTTACTTTTAGGATCCACCAGGCAACCATATTCTGCACCCCCATCAGCATGAGTAATGTCAATCCCAACCTTATTTTGGCCCTCCTAGAAACAAAGCCAAATGCTACAAACAGGAGGGTAAACTCCTGGCCTGGCCCCACTCTCTCAGGCCTCTCTTTCCCATAATCACAGATGCCCCCCTTCACTTTCCAGTGAGGACCCCAGGCTCAGATACATGTAGCAGAAACAATATGTAACTGCTTTGTTTCCATAGTGGAGATCCAGAACTTTCTATGAACCAGATACTGGGAACCTAACTTGGTTAAAAAAAGGTTTACATAGCGTGTCCCAGTGCTAGACTATTCTAAGAACTTTCTAAATATTGTTGTTATTAGTTACTGTCAAGTTGACCCAACTTGTGGCAATCCCATGCACAACAGGATCAGACCATTGTGACCTGTAAGGTTTACATTGGTTGATTTTAAGAAGTAGAACACCAGACCTTTCTTCCTAATCTGTCTTAGTTCACTAAAACCTATTCAGTATCACAGCAACATGCAAGCCTCTACTGCAGATAGGTGGTGGCTGTGTATGAGGTGCACTATCTTGGAATCTGACCCGATTCTCCTACACAGAAGGTGAGAATTCTACCACTGAACCACCACTGCCCTCAAGTTTCAAAATATTAACAACTCAATCTTGATTTCAGCTCAACAGTATTAGTACTATTATCATCCTTATGTAATATGAGAGAAGTGAAGTCTGAGGTTCAGCAGGTGATTGGCTTGAATCACTGACAAGCCCAGGGTTCAAGCTATGGTGTGACCCTAGGGCAGAGACTCTCAACTCTGTGGCTTTTGACCCCCAGTGACTGCACTATTAACTAGGGACTTCTGTTAGAGAATAGGCACTATTTAGACTTGGACAAATCCCTAGTTGATATAAATGGTAAAAGTGTACCATTCCTAACAAAAAAGTTGGAGATTCTAGTGCATGTCTTGGTAGAAAGGCCTGGCGATCTAGTTCCCAAAAGTCAGCCACTGAAAACAACTCTGACATACATGGGGTCTGAATCAACTCAGTTGTAACTTTTTTTTTGACTAAGATAAGGGAACTTGGGTTCTGGTGTTCCAGCCGTAGCTGTGTCCTACTTAAACGGATAGGATGGGGTCCTCTGGGCTCTAACAAGGAAAGCACAATGGTATTTCACACGCAGGCATTTCAAATACCAAGCTCCCTTCAGCACTTGGCTCAGCCTTCGTGGGGGTGGGGTGGGGTGGGGTGGGGCAGCGAAGCCCGCCTTCTCAAGAGGCCAGCAGGGGGCGCGCACAGCGCCTGCACTCACGGCGGCCGAGCCTCTCCGCTGGAATTCCGATGCGCATGCAGTTGGCTGCCTCTGGGCTCTCAGGCAAAGGCAGCGCCTCGCACTTGGGCAGCTGCAGCTGCATTAGGATGAGCGGGTTGGAGCGGGCGATGGTGTACTCCTGACGACACAGGTCGCTCTCCAGCACCTCGCATTCGTCACGGCATAGCTCGCGGGGCTTTGGCGCTCGAGACCGCTCATCACACAGCGGGAACACAAAATGGCAGAAAGACGGGATGGCGAACTGGGAGCACTGGTCCGACAGATGCGTGGAGGTGCCAATCATGGTGAACGCGGCTGCAGAGACAGGAGAGACCTGCCTAGCGTTAGGGGCTCGGCGCTTGCATCCTGCACCTCATCCTGCCCATAGAAAGGAAGAGCCTGGAGAGGCTCCCATGAGGCAGGGCTCCAGGGAGGACCTAAGCAGCTCTGGTTTGCACCAGACACGGAAAGTCCTCGGGCTTTGCTTACAAACATGAGAAACAGGAACAAGAAAGAAGAAAAACAGACTGATGGTGTGCCTTCTGTGACAGAAAGATTCAAATTTCTGATAACATCAACCCTTTCCTAAGGACCAACTATGAACTGTGGATTTTGCAAGAACGTGAAAGGTATCTGAAAGCTCTGGGTTGGATGAGATCTAGAAGAAACCCAGGACTAAGAGTTTTTTCCAACACTCCATGGCCTGAATGCAAAAAGCACAGGGAAGGATGAAGGAAAGAAAAGCACAGAGAAAGGTGAGGGAAAAGCACAGAGAAGAGTGAGGAAGGGGAGGGATGGCACTGGCAGCAGGAAACCAGCCGGGAAGGAAGGAAAGTGTGCCCATAAAGCCAGTCTATCAGCATTGTGCAAGCAGTGGGGAGGTGGCATGAAATGACAATGGGACCTTTAGTAAAATGGACATATTTCTGAGGAGTGGTAGGCCAAGCTGAAAACCAGTGTGGAATATAGATATATAAGGGGGTGGGAGAAAGTAATGCGCAGAGAGCAGCAGGAGAAACCTGGAGGGGTTTTGTGATAGCAAAGAGAAACTGGCAGTAGCTGGAGGAGGATCTGGAGTTGAGGTTGGTTAATTGGTTTTTGAGGAGTGAGATATTACAGGATGAACGCATATGATGAAAAGGAACAACGTGAAAAAAAAAAAAAAAACTTGAGGATATGGGAGAAAAAGGGAGAACTGAAGGCATCAGGTCTGTGCACCTGAGAGGAAAACTGGCAGGAGAGAGTTGAAGTGAAGGGTTAGGGGCTTGCATAGCCTCCCATCTAGAGGCTCAGAAATCAGGGCTCAAAGGAACCCATTTGCCAATGCAGTACCACCCCCTGAAGTTCCATCCCACAACTACCTTTCTTCTCTAAAAGATCTGCTTATAATGACTTGGACAGCTGAAGAAGAGGCCCAATTGCTTACCCACTCTACTGATCTTGTGTTCTGACAATGGGAGAAATGAGGGTGTGAGGTAATCCCTAGGAGCTCTAAGGCATTTGGCTGCTAACCAAAAGGTCAGTGGTTTGAACCCTAACAGTCACTCCACGGAAGACAGATGGGGCAGTCTGCTTCTGTAAAGACTTACAGCCTTTGAAAACCTGAGGAGGTCATTATTAGTTGGAATCGACTCCATGGTATTAAGTTTGGAATTTGGAATGTAATCCCTGAGACTTTGGAATGTAGGCTGTCCCAGCACCTAAGGCATTTGACTGCTAACCAGAAGGCTGATGGTTCAAACCCACCAGTCACTCCTCGGAAGGAAGACTGGGCAATCTACTTCCATAGAGATACTGCCTTGGAAACCCAAGAAGCTGTGAATCGGGACCAACTTGACAGCAGTTGAGTTTGGTTTTTTGGTCAGCACCTCCCACTACTTGTATTGCCATACCAAATACGACCAGCAGGTGGCACTGCATCCCCTTATTCCAAGGTGAGGCCCACACAGGCACCCACCCACCCATGGGCCAGTGTTTGTTTTTAATAAAGTAGTGTTGGGGCAGTTCTAGATCTGTCTGTATTATGTATGAGAGAGTTTGTTACTTAATTTCTATGCCTACTTCTTTATTTCTAAAGTGATTCTCTGAGACTGCTGTTGGAGAATGAAAGTCTGTAAAGAGCCTGAAAAATACCTTGTCATCTGAGTGAGTTAAGGAGTCATGTATGCTGAGCTGGTTGGGCTTCCAGGCACTGGTTTTGACTCAATGAACTAAGAGCTGATGGCACTGCCCTGGACATGAAGTTAACTGAGTCCACCTAGGGCCCGGCACCCTGCCTAGTGTCTACCCACATCATCTAGAGTCCTGGTTCCTTTTGGTAGACAGTAATATTTAGAAACAAAGAGGTTAACAAGTTAAGGGACAGGATCTTTCAGAGTAAGTAAAAGAACTGAACTTTGAATCCAGTTCAATCCTATCATTTCAGATCAGGTAATTGATGGAGAGGGCTGCTAAAAAAAATGCTGGCCTTGTTAAAGAATGCCCAACCTGCAATTCCTCTAGGGCAGCCAGCTGATAGGGTGTCACAGCTGACTTTTATAGGGTTCTCCTCCTCCTCCCCCTCAAAGTTCATTAACTGCGGGTTCTTGGGTGGTGCAAATGGTTAACATGCTTGGCGGCTAACCAAAAGGCTGGACGTGCAAGTCCATCCAGAAGCATGTCAAAGAAAGGCCCAGCAATTTATTTCCCCAAAGAATCAGCCACTGAAGACCTTATGGAGCACAGTTCTACTCTGACACACATGGGGTGGCCATGAGTGGGAACTGACTCCAATGGCAACTTTTTTTTTATCCCCTTTGAAAGTACAGTTCTAGCCACTGAAACAACTCATTTCCTCATTTTATACACACCCTGAACATCACATGAAGGTTTCTTGGGGCCCATCCCATGGGAAAGCTTGAAGACTCTCAGGAATCCTGTAATGTGTAGCGTGAACAAGCAAGCCATGTTCCACTCGTAAAACAAAGAAACAAACAAAAAACAACATCTCCAGCATTGAATCAGTCTTTACTCTTCTTAATGTCTGAACCACAAGAAGTAAGTTACTCTGGACTATTTCCAAATACTAACTTTTAACAAAAAGTCACAAATTTAGAGACTCTTCATGCTAGCCATTAAAAGAAAAAAAAATGGTTATAAAACCCAGCTGCTTAGATATCTGAGTTGTCTGATCTTTTAAAAAAATCCCATCATGGGAGAAGGAAGGGCTGCTTATGCACAGGGAGACAGCTCAGGGCACAGGAGAGTATGGAGGGATGGTCACTGGGAAGAGGTAACTATGGGGAGGAAGTGGGAGGGGAGCTGTTGCATTGTGGTAAACTGGTCAATGACATAAGACAAAGTATATGTGAACTGCTGTATGGAAAGTGAATTTGCTCTGTAAATCTTCACCCAAATCACAATAAATTAAATAAAATAAAATAAGCAAACAAACCCTTAAAAAAAAAAATCCTGAAGAAATAATTGAGGGATGATCTTGTGCCTTGAATCAGTGCTTGCACCTCAGTGGGATGTAAAAGTCACTTAGGAGGCTGCAACTAACATAAAAAATGATACAGAGGAAAACAGAAGATATCAGAGTATATGGCTTGTATTAAGGGACTGCAACTAACTTTTTTCTTTAATGAAACAACTGAAGAGAAAAAGCCACTGTACTGCTTTTATTAAAGGTGAATGTTGTTTCAGTACTATGAATATATTTATGTATATATTGTTGTTGTTGTTATGTGCCATTGAGTCAGCCCCTACTCATAGCGACTTCCTCCTTGGGTTGCCAAGGCAGTATCACTATGGAAGTAGATTGCCCAACCTTCCTTCCGAGGAGGGGCTGGTGGGTTTGAACCGCCAGCCTTCTGGTTAGCAGTCAAGTGCCTTAGGCATTATACTATGTCATAATGTGACGTATGGGACCTCTGGTGGCATAGTGCCTAAGGCATTTGAGTGCTAACCAAAAGGCTGGTTGTTCAAACCCACCAGCCACTCCACTGAAGGAAGGTTGCGCAATCTACTTCCATAGTGATACTGCTTCAGAAATCCAAGAAGGGGTCGCTATGTCGGATCTGATGCGATGGCAGTGGGTGTGGTTTTGGTTTTAATGTGAAGTATACTTTTTACAGCATGTTGTGGTCAAAAAGTTTGAGGAGTTCTGCTTAAATGGCATATAAAACATTTTCCCACAGGACAAAGATGGCTTTCAGGTTCCTAAATGTTCCATTATTGCCCTTTCATTTTGCACTGACAGTTCAGGGGGGCGTCTCTTTTAGCATGTGCCAGACAGACCCTTCTGTGACACTGACCTTAGACCCTCTAGTCTGAGGACAAAATGTAAGGTCAGGGTTTGACCTGAATTTAGAAGAGACTTTCAATGACATCTGCATGGGTTTCTAACTTCAATGTTCATTCTTACCCACTTACTAGGCCAGCCCTTTACAGCTCCTTTGCCCCCATTAGAATTTCTCATAAGCTCATCAGGTGATTCAAATGTGCAGTCAAGGTTTAGAACTATCATGTGGCGAGTCCCATCACCCTGAAGTGCTGGGGCATCTGGTTTCCTCAAGAGATTTTTCTAGTTCCAGCAGATAAAACTGTGTATGTGTGTTTGTGGGGAGAACAGGGGCAAGAGGAGGTGTGCTTTGCTGGTCTTTGGTCTAATTAATTTTCTTACTTCTCAAGGGCTTTCCCCGAAGGAAGACCACACATCAATTAGTAGAAGTTGGTGCACTGAGGGCTAATAATCAGCTCGAGAAGTTCTAAAGAGGTGAAGGATGAGTAGCTTCACTTCCTAAATGCTCTGCTACCTTTCTCAGGCTGGGAACCAGATTACTGAAGACCTGAGTGTGTTCTTTGGCAAACTGAGGATTGAAGGTCTAAGAGTGATGCTGCAGACCAATTCTGCTGTTGAAGACGTGCAAACACTGCTCCCAAAGAGCAGAAATCAAGCCTATGAATTTTTTAACAAGACATAGCTCAGAGCATTTGTAAGAGTCAGAAAATATAGAACTAAGGCAAAGTGAATCTAAGTGAAGGTTGTGGGCTGTGATTAGCAGCAGTGAGCTGAACTTGGGGAAAGAGGCCTTGACAACTTTGTGAGGACAACACAGTGCTTTGGCCAAATTAAGTATGTCAAAATATATGCTAACCCATTTGTATTTGCTAATTTAAACAGAAGCTAAGAACATTTTAGGGTAAACTATGTTAGAACTGCAACTGCTTTTAAAAAATGTCTCTTATTTTCTACTTTGCAAGAGACAAAGAATGAAGATGCATTGCCCAAGCCTATATGATGAAGGGAACATCTGACTGATAAAACACACAAGGATAAAACAGAAAAGCAGCTCCCTCTGTGCTCCAACAGGTGGGCTGTGTGCATGCTTATGGTTTCACTACAAAGGCACACAGTGCCTACCTGTGATTCGGTTCTCAATCTCCCCCTGCATCTGGAGGGAGTCCACGTAAATGGTCCGGTTCCCAATGAAGCGCGCACAGGCAATGCCCCGGTAAGGCTGGCAGAATCCATCCTCATGATAGTCGTCCCTGATAAAAACACAGACAATGCCTGTAAGTGCACTGGCAGGTGTTTAAATATCCCTGACCATTTTATATTTATATATATATATATGTATATGTATTTTTTAACTCTCTCAAGACCAAATTATTTTCTGCTTTGAATTTTTTGTTGAAATCATGTGTTTTCAGTAATAGGAGTCATTTTGAATTAAATTAAAAAAAAAATGTGAGGTACTATGCATTCTGACACAATTAGGGGACACTTGTGTCCTGGGGGTCTCTGATAATGGGGTTGGTGGGATGAGGCCCATATCTTCAGATTCACATAGTTATATAGGCCCCTACCAGATGGCAGTACACACTAAAAATGGGATAGACATTTCCCATTAAACCTGAGGCAGAAAATGTAAGTGGGTACTATATGGTCAAATTCAATAGCAATGACATTCCTAAGTATTGATTCAAATGAGATAATGTATGCACTCAAAAACCTGCACATGAATGCTTATAGCAGATTTATTCACAATTGCCAAAAAACTAGAAGCAACCAAGATGCCCTTCATGGATGAGTGGATAAACAAACTGTGGGCATATCCACACAGTAGAGTTATTCAGCAATAAAAAGAAGTGAGCTATCAAATCATGAAAAGACATGGAGGAAACGTAATTGCTTATTACTAAGTGAAAAGTGAAAGGAGCCAGACTGAAAAGGCTACATACTATATGATTCCAACTACAGTGTACCATAGAAATGCAAGATATTAATTACAGGAGAAGCCCTGTGCAACCAGGGAGAGAGGATATTTGGGAACTTTTTATTTCTTTCACTCAATTTTTCTTAAACCTGAAATTGCTCCAAAAAGAAAGTCTATTAATTAAAAAAGAACAGTCTCTTTAGAGGAATATGGAACAAGGAGAGGACTAACTGTGTGCAAAAGATGGATTATAAATGTGAAGTGTACACACAGATGGTTACACATACACACAGAATGTTAAACTTTAAACATGTTTCATCTTTCTCTTAAACTACATCAGAGACAACATTATGGCATATCCCTGCAAACACACCTTGTTTAACAACAAGGTTTTTATGAAAATGATGCTAATCAGGAAGATGTGTTCTATCATGAAATCATAGGGGATAAGTATTTATTTATTTATTACAAGTTTAATTTATTTGACCCTGTAAGTGAAGATTTTTTAAAATCACAGTTTCCATCAAATCAACAAATTAATTCATGGCAAAAATATATTAAAATGAGGAGAAATTCTTAGAAAGGAGAAAAACAAGGCAAGAAACATGCTTTGTATACAACAGAGCTGTGATCTAGTTAATTGCAAAGCATATGGCATATACATAAACCAAAAAACCAAAACCAGTTGCCATGGGTCCATTCTGACTCCTGACAACCCCATGTGTTGTAGAGTAGAAGTACTCTTTAGGGTTTTCAATGGCTGTGATCTTTCATAAGTGTATCACCAGGTCTTTCTTCTTAAGCATCTCTGGGTGAATTCAAACCTCCAACTTTTCAAATAGTAGCTGAGTGCTTAACTGTTAGCATCCCTCAGGTACTCCACAGACACGTATAGGAAGACAGAAAAAAAGAGACTCAGGAAAGTAAACTGCCCTCTCTTTTGTCCTTCATACTCAAACATTCCCATTTCCTACAAGGAACAACTTGAGTTGAAAGAAATACCACCATTAAGTCCCCAGGTGGAGTTTGTGCTAAATTCCTTTCTGCAGATTCTGTTAGTCTTACCTTCTGTTGATAAAGTGGGGATAAATGTCTCAGGCATATAATTAAGTGGTTCTTTTTCTAGCACATGTGGAACCTAAGGACAATTGTCATTCCACCCTACATCAATCTATTGTTGCTAGATGCATTGAGTTGGATCTGACTCCCTGGAACCTTACATACAACAGAACAAAATGTTGCTCAGTCCTGTACCATCTTCATGATCTTTGATATGTCTGAGCCCAATGTTTTGGCTATGCTGTCAATTCATCTCACTGACGGTCTCCCTCCATTTTGCTGATCTCATACTTTACCAAACATGATGTCCTTTTTTTTTTTTTTCCTAGTGATTTGTCTTTCCTGATGATGTGTCCAAAGTAAATGGAAAGTTTTGCCATCCTTACTTCTGAGGATGTGTTTTTTTCTAAGATTGACTTGTTCACTCTTTTGGTAATCCAAGATATATTCAATATTCTTCACAAAATAGGCCATCCCAAAAGGAAATCTCTTGCATTCAATGAACCAAATAAACTGAAAAATCCCATCTGAGGTAGTTCATAAAAGCAGTATCTGAAGGCTTGTTAACATTGGAGCAAAAAGCCCGAGGTAACACTATCTCTTCAGCCACGTATGGCTCGCTCTTCCTCCTTTTCTCTCTCCTCTGTTGTCTTCTAAGCCCCTGAAGAAAATCTCTTTTTCAAAGAAAAGAACCTGAAGCAATAAATAACCTTAATAAGGAGATTTGGGTATCAAGAAGAGCTGGATCCTCTCTCTCTCAAGCTCACTAGCCATTATTTCTTTGGGTCATATTCCTTAATTAGAGTTTAAATACGCAAGCAAACTTGTTAACCATACAACCTTGGCCCAGCTCTCTTTTGCTCTTTTTGTGCTAGCATTAACTGCTGATTAAATGACAACCAGTGCCAACACTTGCCCCAAACATCAGTGTAAGCAAAGATAAGTTGTAATCTGGTGTATGTGCAGTACATGTTGCTGTTGCATGCTAGGTTCAGGGGGTTTGCACAATATGCCAGGAAAATCTTAACACAAGTGTGACCTGTCTGATTAACACCAGCTATGCCGTGGAAACGCTATGGGTAGTTCTACTCTATCCTGAAAAAAAGAGTTATCAACTTGATGGCAGTGGGTTGGTTGGTTGGTATGCCTAGAGTTGGAGAATCAAGCTTGACTCCACAAGAATAAACCTTTTCTCTTCTCCAATGTAAGAGTCAAAGACTACAAACCTGGCTCCTTGTTGTGAACTTCTCTCAGGTAATTTTTTTCAGGACCCCACAGGATGAGGAAAGCCAACAATAGTGTAGAGAAGTTAGTAACTATGATGCTGAGAAACTCCTGAAGATTGTCACACTTCCTGCATAATTTACTCATCTCAAGGGATTCCAGCAGTAGAGAATAACCCAAGATCAAACAGAAGTCATTGGAAAATGACAACCTGCAGGTATTTGAACACTGAGAGAACAAGTGAGAATTACTTTCTCTTTACAAACAGAATTTGTTTTATTTTCACCTGGCATAGGTTGGGACTGCTTAAGAGTGACAGAGCTAGTGCAAGTCTGTAAAACAGGTTACTAGGATATCAAAGAAAAGGAATGACAAAGAAGCTGGCATCTTAAACAACTTAAGGGGAAAGACATGTTTACCAAATTGCAGAACAATGTTATGGACATTATATTTTGAAGTATCTGCTGCATTCCTATTGGGGCTATGCATCGAAACAAGAGTTTAATGACATATCGATGATACATGATTGGTGGAAGATAAGACCAAGACTTTTAGTAACTATGATAAGTGTGGTAAACAAAGAAGAAGGTACAGGAAGATAGGGAAATATCAAGAGAAACTCATGGTCAAAGAGGGGAGAGAGATAAAAAAACTACAATGCCAGGTAAGAAAAGCAACAGGGAAGGAGTAGGAGATTCATATGTAGCACAGAGGAATGATCTCTCAAGTTGTAAAAGAAAGTGCTCCTTCACAAAGGGCTGTAAAAATGGTAGGGCTGACCAACAACCTTTCTCCAAATGGTACATGCTTATCATAAAAATTAGCTGATGAAAGGTGTCTTAGTTATCTGTTGTTGTTGTTGTTATGTGCCGTCGAGTCAGCCCTGACTCATAGCGACCCCTCTTTGGGTTTCCGAGGCAGTATCACTACGGAAGTAGGATTGCCCAACCTTCCTTCCAAGGAGTGGCTGGTGGGTTTGAACCGCCAGCTTTCTGGTTAGCAGTCAAGTGCCTTAGCCACTATGCTACCAGAGCTCCCCTTAGTTATCTAGTGCTGCTATAACAGAATTACAACAAATACGGGGTTTTAACAACCAGAAATTTATTTCTTAATGGGTTAGGAGGACAGAAGTCCAAATTCAGGGTGCTGGCTCTAGGAGAGGGCTCTCTATCTGTCCACTCTTGTAGGGAAATGCCAGTCTTTTAAAGCTTCTATTTCTAAGTTCCACTACTCATCTGTCAGTTGGTCATACTATGGTGGCTTGCATGTTGCTGTGAGGATAAAAGCTATGTCAATGGTATTTCAAATATCAACAGGGTCACCCATGGTGGACAGGTTTCAGCAGAGCTTCCAGACTAAGAGAGACTTGGAAGAAGGAAGGGGCCATCCACTTCTCAAAGAACTGGCCAGTGAAAACATTTAGAACAGCAGTGAGACACGTTCTGATATATTACCAGAAAACTTTATGCGTAACACTGAACATTGTCTGATATAGTGCTGGAAGATGAGGCCCTCAGGTTGGAAGGCACTCAAAATATGACTAGGGAATAGTTGCCTCCTCAGAGTAGAGTTGATCTTAAGAATGAGGATGGAGAAGTTCCAGCAGATGGTGGACTAGGCAGAAAGACTGCATAGACCCTCTTCAACAAAGAAAAGGGAAACCAATTAACACAGACACAGAAGATAATTCTGGACCCCTGAGCCTTGAAGGGAAGAATATAGAAGAGGACTAAACCCCAACTAGCAGAAGAATTTGCATGAAAATACCAAAAAGGGAGACATATGGAGCTGCGGTCTGGCAGCGATCCTGAGCGATCCTGATGGCACAGACAGCTTGGAGATTCCTGAGTGCAGATAGGACCTAAGAATTAAGCAAAAAATCAGCACTGCTAGTCAGGGACTGCACAGAGGATTGCTCCGGTGGCTTGGTTATAAACAGAGAAGGTGAAGAGAAAGGCGGGCTGAGCTGTGGACTTTTGCCAGTCTGGAGGACACCGCCATTTTGAAGGTCTAAAAGCAATTTGACTATTTTGGATATTTAAAGAGACA